CCCTTTGCATGGGGCTTTAGCATTTAGCTGGGCCTGCTGAACAGCCCCAATTCTGAGGCAGCCCCCAGGTGAGGAACACCTGGTCCCTGGATAAAGCAGGTGGAATGGGGATTCTTTGTCCTCAGTGAGGCATTTGGGGATGTTGTTCTGCTGGAGGGAAAGCCCATAGGTGGGCTCTAACTGGGTTATTCAGGCACAAATTCAGTCCCTGGGATTCCTGGGTGTCTCTGCAGATCAGAGGTGCATTTGGGAAGCATGGTCCTGCCTGCTCCCAGCCCGTGCCCAGGTTCATCTGTACAGAAATCAGGGGACAAAAGTGAGTACAGGTCCAGGAGGCTGACCTGGATTCCAGTCACTTGAGGCAGGTTTGGGAAGAACTGGAGGAACTGCTTGGGATAGGGAAAGATTTGGAGATTTTTACAGTTCATTCCTGAATAACTATTTCCTATACTACAAGGAAGGGAGAATCTTTAAATTCTCAATTTCAAGACTGAAGGAAGGTATTGGTATGTAAAACCAGATTGTTCCAGGCTGGGATTTGGAGAGGCATCACTCCCTTGCTGCTGCAGCTGAACAGTTCCCTCTGCACTGAGGCAGTTCTGTTTAACAAAGTGCTGCCTGGTCAGGTGACTGCAATGCCATTACATCTCCATTTTCTTATCAGCCTCACCTGTACAACTATCTCCAGAGTATCCAAAATTATCAGGTTGGCTTCTGTTGCAAGATTCCCATCGATGAGTGCTTCGTGTTCTATCTCTGCCCTTGACCTGATCAGAGAAAACAAAGAAATGAAATTACTTCCTGATTTAGGAACAGACCTACATATTTTCCAGTCAAAAATGTTCTCTCACTAGCAGGAAACTCCCAGTTACAGTTTGCATATTTATCACTGGACAACACCACAAAGATAATCCAATGCACCCCCTGAGAGGACAGGAAGGAAAACTCAGTATTTTACAAGTACAGACTTACAGAGGCTTCACGTTCACCATGCTTGGAGAGCTCACAGTGCTCTCTGACACTTCACTACTCCCCAGGAGCACAACAACAGTTCAGAAGCCCAGTCCAACTCCAAAGTGGCTCAGCAGCATCGTTAGGCATGCGACAGCACGAGCAGGAACAGGACATGTGGCTTTATGCTGCGGACACACGGTGGTGCTACACGAGCTGGGAACTGCACTCCCCCTGGGAGCAGCACACTGCAGCCTGCCAGGCTGCAATCTCATCTCTCCAAGCTACACTGCATTTAATCCTTGAAGCACAGCTTCCCCTCTCCGCTGAAGGACAAGGTTTTGCTGTTCCATGCCAGGCACTCGCTTTCCTGGAAAGCCTTGCAGAGTCCAGACATCCACTCACACCTGGGGCTCCAGGAGTTCAGCACACCCAGCCCCTTCCAGTGGCACCTGGGCACAGAGCCAGGGCTGCACTCAGAGCCCAACCCTGGCCTGCCCTGCCTCAGGAGCCATCACTGACACACTGTGCCAGGCCAAATCCCAGCAGCAGGGTGACCGAAATCCCAGAAAAACACACAGAGAGAGGGAGAAACCATTTGGCTCTTGGAGCTGTATTGCAGCAGCCCTTCCCTGCCACACTCCACATCCTCTGGGAGCTGGCTCACACCCCCAACATCTCCAGGACAGGAAGTTTCGGGACCTGATCCCCCATAAAATAATACCATCTGCATAAAAAGACAGCAGCTGTAAGCTGTGCACAATCCTTGGAGTGAAAACTCTAGTTTATGGGGTTTCAAAGGGCCAGGCTCTACCTACACACACAGGACACAGCAGAGCCAGTCACAGCAAGCAGGGTTAGAAAGCAGCTCTAGAGAGTTTTATTTTATCTAAGCAGCTCATTTTGTGAGGTGAGACACCATCCTTTGACCATCAAGGAATTCCACAGCTGTCAGGTGTGTACTTGAGGTCCTTCTGGGAAGGACAGAACTCAGACCCAGTGCTGCCAGTGAGCTGCTGAGTCTTTCAGGCCAAATTCTAATCTGATGTGACTCTAGAATTTATATCTACATCACTTCATCAGCAGGGTGAAATATACCCTGGGCATTTGGCTTTCCCAATGACTCAACAGGACTGGAGCCTTGGACAAAAAGCCACTACTTGTCATGAGGAGAAATTACATTTTTGTGTGGGACAAAACAACTAAAGGCTGTGAAGAATTGCTTTCTAGTCCAGGAAGAGTCAATGTCTGCAAGGATAAAATTTGGCCTGATCTCCATGTGGGCTCTGAGGACCCCATTCCTCAGTTTCTTCAGAGCTTCACTTGGGCTGAGGTTGCTTCCCTAGGAAAAGGAACAATTCTTTTGCAGACTACAAGCTGCAATTTGAGGAGACAGAAAACGTGCACAGCAAAAGCTCAAACACAACTCCTGAGCCCTCTGGATTAAACCACACCAAGAGAGGGAATTTTCAAGGAAATGGGTGTAATAAGCCAAAAGAGCTCATTCCAGTCAGTTGCACACACACACTGAGAAGTTCTGCCAAGCATCACAAACAATGCTGTGATGATTGAGTCTGCAGATGTACAAAATGGCAATTTGTAAGAACTGCACACCAATGCTACAGTACCTGGCTGGTTTGTGGCTTCTAAAAGCACAGCACATGTGGAAAAACAATCAAAGTGATGGATTAGGACAGGAAAGGAAAGCGAGCTTTGAGAACTCCAGAATGCTCTTATGGAATAAAGGAAATATGACATGAGATATAAATGCTATCTGTGGAAACTCTTAATGGATCTTCCCTCTAAATTACAGCTTAGGGCAGGGTTTTAAGACAGTAATGGATCGTATAAATCTCTTTAAATCTGATTTGGAAGTCTAAGGAAGCAAGGGACAGCAGAAAGGCAAAGACTGGGGAGGGCAGTGTTGGAGTAAAAGCTATTTGCTTTTTTTTTTTGCACTGCCAGCCCTGTGCATCTGAGGGCTCCAAGCTGAGCTGGCAGTGACCTTCTAGGGGAGGGGAACCCTGCTCTCACAGGCCTGGCACAGGGGCAGAGCAGAAGGAAAAGGCAGAGTTACTTGTCAAGCTTCTCGGTGTTCTGCCGCCAGTGAGTCATATCCTTTCTCCACCTCAGGTTCTCTTGACTTCCAAAGGCACTCCCAGAAGGGCTCCTCTCTGCAGGGAAACAGCAAAACAACAGCAGTCAGCTGGTGCTCACTTCAGCTGCACCAGCAGCAGCTCCAGATCTGCTCACAAGTGGCAGGTGGCAACAAAGATGATTTTCTGGAGCCTGAGGCTCTGTGGCACTCACCCAGGATGTTTACATGGCCCCAATTCTGTCACTGTGAGTGCCACAAGACACAGAGAGGCAGCTGAGGCACTCACTGGTGAGAGGAGCCCCTTCCTTGGCCTGCACAAGGAGCCTGAGAGTGCCAACCCTCAGCATTCCAACACTGCTGTCCTTGACTGGCACCCAGGAATGCTCTCAGGGTGGTGCCAAGACCCCCCTTTCCACCTCACAATCTTTTATTCTCATTGCTGGGAAGGCAGGGGAATTTCAAGTAATAAAAGTAATCTGGCCACATTAAGAAAAAAAAATGAAGACTCCCATCTCTGAAGAGATTCCTTCATTATGGTTCTAAACTACTTTTCCACCTTAGCCCACAAGGACAGGCTCGTGTGGCAGAGCAGGAGACAAAACCACAGCTCTGATTCTTGTCCCTGGGCCACCCTTTGAATTTTGGGTGTTCCTAAAAATTACTGGGTTTTACAAACAGTAGAAATCATCAGAAGGAGCCTGTTAGCCCAACTACAGCTACTTCAGGTCTCCTTAAGTCAGCAGAAATGCCCAGGAACTTTCAGAGCTGTCAGCAACATCAGGCAGTTTGTTTTCCAGGACTCTAAAAGATGCTACACTGGAAAAAACTAAGGTAAAAACACCCCATAAATGAGATGTGATGTCACTTAAAAAGGCAATCAAGTAGCAAATGAAGTGTCTGCAATTTAGGAAAGGTGTGGAGATTTTGCAGAGCCAGGGAAGGATGCTGCTAACAGCTTTCCTAAAGGCCTCTCTGTGTCCTACACCACAGATGGGTGCAAATAATTGTTGGGGATGGGAGGAGCAGCTTTTGGAAGAAAAGGGATGGCAGAGAGGACTCCTTGACTTACCCAGCTGTCCTCTACTTCTTCGGACCATTTCCTGCCTTGCCCCTATGCTGCCCAAAATTGCTTCTTCAAGTTTGGCTCTCATGTCTTTTGACTTCTTAAACGTCAGACTGTTCATTCTTTCAAACACTTTCTTGCCCTGCAAGTTCCAAACAAACCCATGAGGGAAGATTTTTCAATTTGGGATATTTGGTATGAGTTAACAACTCAAAATATGTGAAGACATGCAGTAAGAAAGGAATACAGATTAAGTTGGCAGGTAGATAAACCACTCAAATTCCAGCACTGCTACAGAAAACTCTCTTTTCAAAGTGGCACTGCAGCAGTTCCCAGATGAGGGGCAAGCAGCACAAACTGCTTGAGAAGTGGAACAAGGCACAGACACTCACATGGCTGGGAAGTAAACATGGGAAAAGCCTGGCTTTGGGATTGTGAACACAGGAAATACTTTGGAGAGGGCAGGAAATGCCTTTCTGCAGTCGTGTAAAGGACGGGAGCATAAAGGTCCTCAGCAGGGCCCAGGAGGGACTGCAGGGGCTCCAGCTGGGCAGTACCTTGTACTCAAAGCAGGAGACACAGAGATAGAGCAGGTCCAGCAGGCGGTTGAGCTGCAGCACTGACAGGTCAGTGAACCACTTCTGCAGGACGCTCTCGTCCGCGTTCTTCAGCACCCACAGCAGGCAGATGAGGAGGCTGCGGCTGGACTCTGTTGAGAAGGTGGAGTGCTGCCTGCCACCCTGAAACACAGGGCAGCACAGGGCTCACATTCCCATCACCACAGAGGGAGTTTCTTCCCTTGAGAGAACTGCAATAACCTCAGCAGCTCAGGGGTTAGGCAGAGGGGCTGCATGTTATCTCATGCATCTATCAGGGCCTCACTGAGAGTGCACCCAAACCCCAGCAAAATGGGGTTACAGTCCTGGAGTAAAGGCAAGAGAAGGCAGAAATGGGAGGGTCTGCCTGCTACCAGGATCAGGATTCCCTCTCTGTGCAGAGAACAGGGAAAATGCCCCTCCTTGTCTTCAGACAGGTGGGATTTACCTGGGGTAGAATTTGTTCTTAGGGTTTAAAGCTCATAGTGATTACTGCACTTCACAGAGCTTTTATAAGATTGGTTTTTTATCAGGAAAGAGAATTCTCCCACTCTGTGAGGTTTGTTGATTCCTATCCCTCCTTGGCATTTTCTTATGCCCCTTATGTGATACACACACAGCAACATGCCAATGTGCTTTGTCCCCCTTGCTGCCCCTCTGCACACCCAACTACAAACTGATGTGGGTCCCCACAAAACCTGCTGGATATTTGCTGGTTGACATAGACTGAGGGTCAGGAAATGGATTTATACCGAAGAAGGGAGTAGGAAACTGCTGGGCCTGGTGAGCTGGGGGACAGAAGTCCCTGCAATGGCCATGGCCACTGTCTGGCTGATCATGCTGCCACCCTCGCTCTCGTAATCGTCCACGGCGACACAACTCGGCCTCCCCCGCTGGTTGTGGCTCTCTGCAGAGAAATGCAGGATTTTAGTCAAGCCCCAAATCCAAGGCTTCACCCCCCAGGCTCCATCCACAGTGCTGGTCTCACTGGAATGAGAATTCAAACTGAAAACCATCCCACTCGAGGGGTCCTGCAAAGAACAGGACGGTGATTTGAGGCCATGAAAGCAAAGAAAGCAATTCCCAAATGCAACCTACACAACCTCAGTGCCTAAACCCTTCTAACAAAGGACAACAGACCTCTTGTCCCTTTGAATACTCCCAATCCCTTCTTGCAGCTTAATTGTGTCATGAAGCTCAGAGGATGTAGAGGAGAACTCTAAATTCCAAACTATTCCTGACTGGACTCCTGCCCTGATTTGAAATAACCTCTGCTGGGACACTTTGCAAAGCACCCCTGAAAATGAACTGCTGATGGAGCACATGACACGAGGAAGAAGAGGAACTCTGCTTATCCTGTGGAATTAGGAACTCTGGATCCTTTGGATTTAGGAACTCTGCTTATTCTTTGGATTTGGGGACTCTGGTACAGTGTGAGAGGTGACTTTTTAAGCAGGTCCGAGACATAGATGGAAGCTGGCTCTGCATTTACATCAGCCAGTGGGATGTCAACTAAAGTGCACTGCTTTTTTTTATTTCATGCCAACAAGTGGGCAAATGCAACTTTTGAGTGTTAACAGGTACTGAAGGCACATTTTGCAAGTGAAAACAAACACAAAAAAATGCCAAAATCGCAATTCAGAAACAACCTTGTCCGACAGCAAAGGCATTCATAACACAATTCAGAACCCAAACACCCAAGCCTGGTGAGCAGACAGGCAAGGCAGAGAATATCAAATACCTGTGAAGTCATAGAGCTGAGGCACAGTTTCCATGATCACGCCAATCAGAGGTAGATACAGCATTGCCACCCGGGCCTTTACCTGGGGGTCAGCGTACCGCGGGTCCGAGTCGTGGCTGGACAGCAGGTTGTGTACCATGTTGATGACCTTCTTATGCAATCCAAATAATCTGTTAAAAGACAGTTGGGTCATGCACATTAGTTAATATCTTCAAAGCAAACTCTCTTTTGTAACTAAGGGGCTTCAAAAAGGAAGGAAAAAAAAAAAAATCCCGTTTTTTATTTTTAACTTCAGGCGAACTGCTGCTGCAGGGGTTTTTTTGATCTCCCATGGATTTTACAGATGGTTGGCTGGTTTTTCACTGGGCCTTGTAAAATGGGCAAAAATATCTCATGGAATGCACACCCATATAATGTGAACGCTCTCATATATTCCATTAAAACCCCCAAAGTCCCAGTTACTGCTATGCTGACGCCTTGAATCTACTAAAATCTCTTAGAAAAACTTAGGGAATATGGAAAACAGGGAGAGAAACTTGAGAGGACAGTGGGTTCAGTAAAATCATTCATTGTATTCTTTTTTTGTCATTATTTAACACTATTTACAGAGAGACAAACCCTCCTAAACCAGAACGTTGCTTTAATCAAATGATCAGGAAGTTTCTGCTTCAGCTCCCCACCCTACCCCATGCAAATATGGAACCAAAACTGGAGACTACAGATCCAAAATTCTGAATACAAAAAGTGGCAAAGACATGAAGGGATAGAAGGAAAAATAGCCAAAATGGCTTCTGTCATTATTCAGATGCAAACACTGGCAGAGCCCTTCTATAGAGCGCCACGTGTGACCCTCCTTGAAAACACAAAACCTCCCCTGGATCTCTCAGGGACTCTGCTCCTTTCAATCCCCTCAGCCACCACGCAGAGGCAAAACTCTCCCAGAGCAAATAGCAGGTTCTCTCTGCAGCTATTTGCTTCTGTAGGCAAACCAGCCAAGAAGACACTTTACCCCATGCATGAAGCAGCCAAGGAAGCTCAGACATTAGGCAGTAGCAAAACATAAGCTGCAATGTTCAGACCTGAGGTATTAAAACAAGTGCTGAATTTCAGGCAGTATCCACTTTACCTGAAAAGTAGAGGTGAGTTCTGGTTAAAAAAAGAGCCTTTGACTGGAATTTTGGGGGTTTGAAGTTGACTATAAGGCAGCAGTACAGCTTGGGAGGACATCAGCTACTGGAGCTGCAGGTGCTCCCTGTGGCTTTTAATCAAGCCATAATGAGATCCTACAATTGCTTGTTTGTGTAATTAGTGAGAGCCTTAACAACTAGGAAGGAAACGCTTATTTAAGTGACTGGTTCCTTTAGATTAAGGATAAAGAAAAGTCTTTGTATTATTTTGAAGGAGTGGCACCTAAATCGTGTTTTTAAAAATTCAAGGGAAACTATCCCAGAGGCCATAAAACTGCAGATGGGGAAAACATCCAAGCAAGGCTGTGTCATTGCAACCTAGGGATCCATGGATTTCTTTGTCACATTCCCAGAGCTGGGTGGGCACTGTGGTGGATCAATCCCTGGTGGAGAGGAGGAAATGCAGCCCCCTGCTCTTCCTGCCTGATAAGGCAGCGAATCGATCTCGCCTCCCTCCCTCCCTTATCTCAGCCCTGGCCTGGATTCCTGTCAATACCCACCCACACTTGTGCAAAACCGACTCTGGCACTGAACTCTGAGGGCTGAATTCTGGTTTTCTCACTTCTGGCCTGCACCCTCAGCCAAGATGGGCAGCGTGGGCACAGTGTGTGATGGCCAAAGCACCCCTGCAGTGTTTGCAGAGCCAGCTGTGCAGGGCCCAGCTGCTGGGACCGTCACGTTCAGCTGGATCCCTTCCCCTGCACGCTTTGTTTGTCCTGGTTTTCAGGCTGCAGGTGCTCTGCAGGGCTGCTCTGCACCCTGTCACTCTGCACCCTGTCACACTGAGGGATGCATCCAACACACACCTCCAGGCACCAGGGAGCTGACTCCTTCTCTGCCCAACTCAATCCACAGAGTTCTTATAAAATGAGCTAAAACTAAACATATCCTGCTAATGGAGCAAAAAGAGCAAGGCCAGAACACATTAAAGGCTCTGGATCACCTATCAAGGCCTAAAGCAGGTTTCTAACACAACACCAACTAGCTGAACAGCCCTTTCCACTCCTGCTGCAGGATCATGAACTTGGAACAATTCTGAGCTTTTTCCAGTGGTGGCCACAATATTTTATGGAAGGCAAGTGCCAGCACTCTCTTCTGCTGATCATGCATGACTGTTAGAAGTCTTCACAGCAAGGGAAGAGCAGATCTGAACACACTTTTACTTTATCTGATAGATCTACCAGGAGAAATGCAGAGGGTTTGAGCTTGAGAAGTCAACAAACCTGAAACTCCAGATTTTTCTGAAAAAAACAGTAAAAAGTAAATGTTTTACAGGTACACATTTGCCTCCAAATTCTGGAGCTTGGATCCAAATGCATCTCCAGAGCTGAACTGGTACCAGGGGCCTTTTTTGGCTAGACAAGGTTTGAGAGAGGAGTTGTGTCCCCAGGGGACACCAGCAAGATCCTCTGTGCACAGATTACCATCCCAAGCCAGGCTTAAGGGCTGGGTAGGCAGGTAGAGAACAGAAAGTTTGTGAAGAACAAGGGCAGACACACTCAGAGACAGGGCCTGATTTCTAACCAATGAGCAGGATGCTCCTCTGGCACAAAAAGGATTTCTGCAGATAGCACATATGGGTAAAGACTTGCTGCTTTTTCCATTTCAGGCCAAACAAATGGGACTGCAGTGTGTTATGTATATATACAGGAAAATATTCCAGTTTATGGCATCACTTTCTTCTCCAAGAGGAAACAGAATGAATGTTTAACTCCAGAGACCTTTTGGCAAAGGGGCAGAATTAACCATGAATCATCAGCATTTGTCGACTCGGCTGATATTTCTGAGTCCACCTTGAGAAAAATGTCTGTGAGGGAACTCAGGACTGTGGAAGCAATCAATAATTTCCATTGCAACCCATTTTAAAGAGGCAAGGCAGAAAACAGCCCTAAATAACACAAGGAACAGGCTGGGTGTCAGGACTAGAGCAGAAAATTATTTGCTGCACAAGCCAGGCGAGTCACTGACAAACTCTGCAGGCTTGACTCTATTTGTCTATTTGTGAAACCCACAGGGGCCTCATCAATGCATAATTTACAGTTAAAAAGAGCTGGGAGAACCACAGGCAAAATATATTGTAACATTTAAAACCACCAGCAAGAGGCTTCCTAAATGTTGGAAATTATTTTCCTGTTACATTTGAGAAAAGCTATTTTCCTTTCAGAGCTCCAGCAGTGCCCCTGTGGCATCTGGGGCTCCAGCAGGAACCTCTTTCCCTCTTCTCTGCAGGAAAAACGTGATTGAAATCAGGTTTACAGAGTCTGGGATAAGGAAGAAGCAGAAGGGGCAAGAAGAAAGAAGATTCTTAAACCACTGTTTTCTTATCATAGCTCACTAATTTATGTAAATTCTGGCCATGCCAGGACTTTCTCTGCATCCACCATTTGTTTGTAATTACAGAAAGCTCCTTGAAAAACAAAACTTTGTGAAGATTTACCCTTCTGCATCAGGATCTAGGATGACAGCCAGTTCTGTGAGCACCAGCCCGGCCAGGTAATGCTGCTGGCGGAAAGGCACAGACAACTCAAACATATTTGCAATCTTCTGGTCTTGGACATTTGTGGAGAACCCAGAACTCTGAAAAAATCAAGTTTCAGGAGCTGCATCATAACAGAGTCAAAGCTTAGGAAACACACAAGAAGCAGTTTTCAGAATTAAAGACAACCTCACACCTTTTCCCTTTTCTGTTTGGATCAAGGCACATCTACACTTAAATTCCATCCCAGCTCAGCAACCCTTCCATTAATTCTGTTTGTTGTTACTGTCTTCCCCTGTTAGGAAAGTTAAACCAAATAACCTTTAAAGTGGATTGGTTAAATTTTTAACTCAAAGATGCTCTTATTCAGGCTGGAGAAGGCTTTAATTGATTTAATTTATGTGATTTTGCAACTAATTAATCCACCTGAATGACACACTAATTCAAATTACTTTTTCTGAGCAGGCCAGGACTAAGCTGCAGAGAGCTCTGAAGTCCCTTGTGTTGCCAGAAAAGGGTAACACTTTACAAAGTATTTTCCTTTATGGCTTATTTGTGTTTGTCCAACACAAGAGGGGACCCAGTCCCTAAGGACAGTGTGTGGTCACTACCAGGAGAGGGATATGGGCACTCTTTCCTCAATAATAAAAGCTCAAAAGAAACCAGAACCTCTGTGGCAGGAAAAACTGATTTCTAACGAAACACTTCCAAAAATATTACCAAGGGGGATTGAAGGTACAGTGACACAACTGCCTCAGAGGAATTCACTCTCAGCTCCAGGCTCAACTTGTATTTCCCAAATGTCTCAGTACCTGGGAAGTGGCTGAAGACACGGATGGTGATGGAGATGCAGGTGGAGTGAGCAAGCTGCAGGGTAAGTTCAAGGTGACATAGTGCTCGTGGCTGCAAATGATGCGCAGGAAGTCCAGCTTCAGAGATGCCAGGTTGCTGGGGTTTGTTAAGGAATACACCTTTGCAGACACCTGGAAAATCCAGGCACAGCACTGCAGTCAGCACCAAAGAGAGTGTAACTGCAAGGTGAGCCCCCCTGGCCCAGCCCTGCTCCCCAGAATCACTCCCAAAGCAACAACTGCAGAGTTTGGTGGCATTAAATGGTCACACCCACGTCCACAGCACTTTTTTTGTGCCACAAATTCAGTTCCTGATTGAGAGATCCCAGATGTATCTCTCAATCCATGATCTATACACCAGTAGTATTTAAATAACCAAATGAAGAACTGTGAGCTTCACCTGTTGGGGGGCTGGAACAAGATGATCTTTAAGGTCCTTTCCAACCCAAACCATTCTTTGATCCTATAATTCCCACATCCTATTGATTTCAGCAGGCAGTTGTGAGTAAAAGTGTGATGCACTAACAGGTTGGTTTTTACACATATATATTTTATATATAAAAATATAATTAATGACACATAATATATGTAATATACAGCAGGCAGCTTAAAATCTTAAATGCTCTTGCTGTTTTTCTGTCCCTTACAGAGAATGTTGTAGACTCTACAGGGAAAATGAGTCCAAGCTTAGTCCCACTTCTCACTGATCCCCTGTTATCTCCTCTGTACACAGCATCAGAATGGATGTTTGTAGTCAAACAAAACTTTGTGGTGCAGGGTGATTTCCCAGTCACACTGCAAATGTGGGAGGAGCCCTCCTTATGGGGAAGGACACCCTGCATGCCCCAAAGGATGGAAAAGGAGCTCAGTGAACAACATGATCATCCAGGGTCACCGTGTCCTTAAGAGACCACGACAGTCTGAGCTCCCTCACAGAACCTCCCACTAATTTTTGATTCAATTACTCTGAATGTGGTGAGCAGAGGGAATAATTCTCCCTGCCTGCTGCCTGTCCATTCACTCCAGGGAGTGATTCCTAATTAACACTTAAGAGTGTAATCAGAGAGGCGTAAACCCTAAATCACCTCTGAGAATGCCCTGCTCTAAGACCTGAACAGCAGAATTCTGCGTCCATATTTTACTGTCTGTCCAGAGAAATCTAACACTAACAGGCTCTGCCACGCTTCAGTTAAGCCACAATGTTTATCTGCATTCACCTGTTTGTAGCAGGTCTTAATAAGACCAAAAACAAATCCTCTGTCCATGATGGACAACAAATCATTGAGGAAAAAGGCGAGGCTGGTGTTGAGCCGCTCCACCATTTCCGTGTCCTGGAGAGAAGGAAAACCAGAAAGCAGATGAAGAACCCTGTGTGTTTTCAAGCAAACAAGAGGCAGGAGGGCTGGTGGCTGAGCTGGGCTCAGTGTAATTGTTTGCCATCACCTTCTGGAAGCGGGAGACTATATCACCAGCGATTGTGCTGACCAGGGCAGACACGTCATCCATGAAGCGCTCCGGGAAACGATTCTTCCTCGTCGCTTCCAGTTTGTCAGCAAAATACAGATGATGCACCATGCTCTTCACCTATGGGGATATAAATTACAGCAGAGCCACTTGCAGCTGTGGCTGCCTCTGTTTGCAAGCAGGGGCTGGGAGGCACTGGGGAGGTGTTTGCTCACCATCAGCTCGAAGAAGAACCAGGCCTGCTGCAGGGCCGCCTCCCGCACGCTCCCGCTGCACACAACCCACTGCAGGGCCAGCTCCTCGTGGAAAAGCTACAGAGTCAAAGCCAGAGTCAGCCCGAGCCTCCAGAGCAGCTCCCAGCACAGCCCCCATGAGAAATGACAGCACGGTCCGTGGCAAGTGTGGCAAACAATGAGTTAAGCAAACTAAATAACTGAGGACATGACAGCAGTGGTGGCATCCCATAAAGAAATCCCCAGCTAACAATGAGGGATGAGGTTATGACATGTGATGTGAGAAACGTTTCACAGCATCTCGCTCCAGGATTGAATCTCAAGTGTCAAAAGAATTTTCTGCCCACCCCCGAGAAATTATAATTTAAAAAAAGGTTGGTGCTCAAATTAGTTTAGTTTAAAAAGTCTACCTTTCTGCCTGGTCTGATTTTCGCAGGAAAAAGGAGTAAAAAGTGGACATATAAAGTGATTTGTACAAAGATGTATATTTACTGTGAGAAAGGACTTAAAACACTAAGAAAGAAACATGGGGCTCAAACAGCTCTTGGATTTCTTTTCTTGGAAAAGACCAACCCACAGACTGATGGTGGCAGTGGCCACGTTTTCTTTACACAAAAGCTCTGGCATTTTGCCTTTCTGACATTGTTTACCTCATTTCCTGTAAGGGAGTTCACTTTCAAAGTGACTCCCATTCCCTTGCTGGAGTCTCTCTGGATTAACACCTGGATAAGTGAGCTCAGCCCACTGAGCCATCCAACACATTTTCATTTTGCACACAAAATGCATCATTGATATGTCTAGACAGTGCTATTCATATTTTTTGAAAGCCAGTAATAAACTGGCCCCAAACACTATGGCCATTAAATCAGACAAGCAACTCCTGATCATTTAGTTCTTCCCAATTCAACTCCAAATACTTCACATTCCCTACAGCCTGGATATTCAGAGGTGTTAAGCACCAGCAGTTCCTAATGACCTCGGGACGGAAAAAAAAAATAATCAGGCTACAAATAAAAGAATAAATTACATCACGTTTTCAGAATGACTTGACCTCCCTGCCCCACAATATCAATTGTCTCCACTGAAATCTACCTTTTTGGTTGGTAATCGTCCTGTTAATGTTTGTAAGAAACTTGACGTCTCAGTGTGCGAAGACATACGATTACAACTTCGATCCGTAGCCTACGGAGTGGAGATGAATGAATGATGACAGGACATTAAAGTTTGCCGTGGATGGGTTTTGCAGCTCAAGGACAACGAACGTTTACAAAAATACTCTTCCAACTGTAGGGTTTTTACAGCTTTTTAAGCATTCTCAAACTCTGAGGCATTTACAGATTGGGTCTAAACAAAACGACAGTAATTCTGATTGGTTTTAAGACACAGAGGTTATTTAAAGAACTGCATGTTCTGATGCACAAAGACAATGCTGCAAAGCATGAAACTCTTCATTGTTGCATTTCATCAGCATGCACAGGTAATATCTGGAATTTCAGCCCATACCTCTCAATCTACCAGAGGCAAGCGTGGGGGGATGTACCCACAGCCACGCGGCTACTGCCATGGGCAAGGGGAAAATCACACAGGTTCTGCTTCTGATGGAAATAATTTGAGTAAGTGAATTGGACTAAACATTTTGGGAAGGCTGTTAAACTGGGAAGGAGGAGCAGTTGAGAGGTACGTTCAAGGCAACCATGCAGTGGAGAGCAGCAGGCAACGGGGGCTAAATAAACTCTTCCTGACTGAAGCTGCTGTAAAGTTTTCATACTTTGCAACACAGAACAATACGATTGGCCCTGGCAAATCACTGCCTCCAGCACTCCAATTGACATGTTTTAAGAGAGAATTTCATATGTGGCAATCAATTTGGGTTCACAATACTCCACTCAAACAAGTCATGAAGGATTACTGGACGATGAGTACTAAATGCTTGATGAGAATGGCAAAATGGTTCACGACATCGAAAGGAATGGCAAACATGGACAAAACTATGAAGCTGTGATTAATGTTCCCACTTAGAAATGTGCTCCACCTGAAGCTGAAACTAGTGTGAGAGAAAGAGAAAAAAAAGAAAACAAAAGCAGTCACAGCATTTACATTTCACAGACCAGCAACCACTGAAATGAGAGGAGGGGACACGTTCACGCAATCGGAGGTTTTTCATGCAGTGTGGTGGGGGAGAAGATGAGAATTTATAAAACCAAACTGAAAAGTTTTCAAATAAAAAAAAAAACAAAAAAAAAAAAAAAAGAAACCACCAAAACTGGAATATGCACTGAAAGGAAGATATTCTACAGGGAAACATCAGGGAAAACAAAGGCAGAAAAACCTCTACCGAAGACACCACCTGTGTTGACTCTGCACTTGGGCTGGGGTTGGATCCCCATGGGGCAGCTTTTGGACCACCAGTGTTTACCCAGGAATTGGAGCGGTCCAAGCCCTGGGCATGTGACAGAAAGCAGTTGGGAAAGGAAAGAAATATTACATGTTGCATGCCATACAGTAGTCAAAGTTCAGTCCTTACAAGCAATCAAAGTGGGTACACTGCAAACACATCAGAACCTGAGCTCTCGGGTGCCTGTCGAGACATCGAGTCCAGAGGATTATTTTATATCTCACATACATACAGAACATTAATCCTGTCAACAGCTCTGGTCTGGCCTGTCCTGTCTGGAATGCCTGACATTCAAAAACTCTCCTCCTCCTGAAAAATCCCCCTCGTCCTTTCCTCAGTTTAAACCCATTCCCATGGAGCCAGGTGAGATTTACACTGTGACAGAGGAAAACTGGTGCTGAGATGTGAGGATGCTCCCTGAGGTTTCCAGCACCTTCAGGGTAGCCTGGAGTTCACAAGCTCTACAATTCTTACAGAAATTCTGAGAAACTGAATGTCATTCTTCACAGGGTTCCCTGCCTATGGAATGAAAGTCCAGCACTGCTGGCAGAATAACTGTGGACAGGATTTCACACGGACACTTGGGCATTTCCTCTGGGCACTGTGGCAAAGGGAGGGAAGAGCACATACCTCTTCTGGAACCAACCTATTTTCCAAGCAAATAATTTGAAAAACCAAAAACCATCCTGCTTTTCAAAAGTTCAATCTAGCCTGTACTCCAAATTCTACTGCAATGGAATGGAATTTTGCATTTTGGCAAAATTACTGTGGATCCCTCCTCTCTCTGCTCTCTTCTCCTTGGGACACTCAGAAAAAAGGAGAAATTCCAACTTTTGCTGTTACCCAGGCTGCTCCCAAATCAGGAACAGTCGGGGGGATGGAGTGGACTTCCCTGGGTCCCAGGAAGCAGCTCTGACAGACACAATTCCTTATAAATACCACACACTGATTTTGCCAACCTTCACCTGAGCAAGAGCTTCCATCCTCACTCCTGTTCCAACTTAGGGCTTTTTCCCAATGCACAAAGCAAAGCTGCAGCCCATTTCATCCCAGTGATCAGCATCAGCTACAAAATTCACCAAGCCAAATCATCTATTTCTCTCAGCAAACTAAAATCCACCTCAAGGTTGAACCTGGCGTGAGAGCTGTAACCTGGGATTCAAACCATTAATCCACTGAGCTCCTCAAGGCAGAGCTCAGCAGTGCTGTAATTTTGCTTAAGATGTCCAATAAAAAAAATACTGAACACATAAGGAGAGTGTTTTAATCTCAATTACTTTTTGGCAGGAATAAATCAAAGCCCTGTGCCCTGCTCAGCCCCATAAACATGCTTTATTTTGCTCACAGTGATTTAAAGTCGAAAGGGCTTTGCAGAATGCTGAACTAAGCTCTTGTTTTGTAAAATCAGGACTAATTTTGAAAATGCCTTTATGCCCCTCACATTTCTCTCTCAGGGTTTTCTAATCTTGATATTCTGGTTCTGAGGATAACAATTAAACACACACTGTGTTTGCAGAAGCAAAAGTCATTTTGCAAAAATGTAGAAAGGGAAGGATTCTTTCCTCTTCAGAAAACAAAAGAGTACAGGAGCTCCTTATTGCTTGGCAGAGTCGCTCCAAAGTTCACAAAGCTGTTGTTAAATTCTGTGCTGCCCCTGGGGTTCAACCTGCAGCTGGGTCTGTGCAGGAACACAACCCACACCTGGGAAAATCACTGGCAGAGCAATGAAACCCCACAAATGTCTTCTGAGCTTTCCCCAGCACATCTCCAGCATTCCAGGATCACTTTTAACATGTCTTTTTAGACATTTCATACATTTTCTTCACAATGTAAATTGTGAATAAAATTTACATGGTTTCAATTCAAAAAGGATGGCAAAATAAGTGACAGACCTAAGACCTCCTCTGCTGTGAAAATAAACAGAAATCTTCAAAATCCTGTAAAGAGTTTTCAAAATGAAGTAAGACAAGATAAAGGTGACTTACTTATGCCACACCTCTAAATACCTTAATTTAAAAATAACACTAGACTGGACGTTGAAGACCTCCCTCAAACAACAAAAAACCCCACAATTTGAGTTGTTTTAAAGCAGAAAACTTCCTGATAGGGAACCTGCGCTTCAAATTAGAATCTATCTATTCTTTAAGCCATTACTTGGAGAAACAATAGGGATTTTTGCACCCTTTTATTCATGTCAGCATCTCAAGAAGTGTCTTATTTTTATCTATTAAGAAACAGAAATAATTACACTCAACCAAAAGTCTGTACAGCCAGACTGAGGTTAATTCCTGATGCTCAGACTACCCCAAAAAAACCTTTTCCCTCAACAAGAACAGGTTTTCCTTTAAAGCCTTCTCCCTCCACAGAACAGGTTTTCCTTTAAAGCCTGGAGGACACCTCAGGAAGAAAATCTCTCTCCATTTTGTACTGTGACATTATTCACCAAGCCAGCACACGTTAAACTTCTGATAGCCTGGGTAAATTCCATATGCACATCAGTGCCTGTGGCATTTCACAAAAGGTCAGGCTTGTTTAATTAGCAAGATACTGAAGTGGTCTTTAAAATATTTCAAGACTTCTAAGTCCGGACTTTGATGTAAGAAATAATCATTTGCCTACCCACAATTCTTCAGCCTCTTATTTGGTCAGCAAATGATGTTATTCATTTAAAATTGGTAACCTCTTCCTCAAACTGTGTTTTTCTTGCTCTTAAAAAATCCAGCATCAGCCACGTCAACCTGCCTGGTCAGGGTGGTGACTTTGGTAATAAACTTGCTCCCTAAACTTCCAAAGGAATTTAACAGCTCCCTGAAAGGGCTCAGGAATTCACCTCTGCTGGAAGAATGAAAGGCTATGGTGGGAAAGTCTCATCCTGGTGAAGTTATCACAGTTTGAAGAATTAAAAAAAAAAGAAAAGAGAAAACCCCAAAGCAGCTTGGACACCCCTCTCCAGGGAGGGAATTACCAGCACTGCTTTGTCCTGGCTCATCCCTATTTTAGGCACAAAATGAAGGGCTCAGATTGAGACTGTGGTGGCTCTGTGTAGTCAGAAGTCAGCAGGAGGAGGTGGATTTACTGAAATTTACTGAATTTACTCTTTACTCAAGAGCCAGAGTACAGCCATGCTGGATGCTCTGCACCCACAGTGGGGTGTCACTTTCTGAGGTGGGAAGTCAGTGCCCCTGTGCTCAGCTGGCCAGACTGTGCCTCTCACCAAGCATCCCAAAACCTCTCTGGGCCACGCAGGGAGCAGGAATATTCCTGCTGTGCGCAGGACATCCACTCTAGACACGAGGAGCAGAGAAACCTGAGCAGCTGAATGCAGAGGAGAGGTGGGAGTCTGCGGCTAGGAGGGAAGAATGGGGTAAGAAGCTGCAAGGTTTGAGGAGACATAACAGAGCTGGGCTCAGGATTCAGCTGCTGGCCAAGCAAAAAGTGAGGGGGAGACAAATCCAGAAGGACTCCTGCCCTCAGCCCCCACATTTGTGAAAGGCCATTCAGGATGGCTCCAAAGTCAGAGACATTTCCAAGGAGCAGCATTCATGTGGTGCTAATAACAACCACCGGGAGAGGGCTGAGGAGGGGCTGGGACACCCCCAAGG